CCATAGCCAGACATAAATCCCATCAAACTGGGTCAGAAAAGGACAGAAAGTGGGAATGAAAAGGAAAAGAAAAGTGAAACAACCGTGGGAAAGTCTGCAGAGAAAACTTTATTTAAACTTCCATAGCAGGAAGAATGCCACAAGCCTATATGGCTGGTGAATGAGTCATCCTTTCAAGCGACAATAAGACAAAGAATTTCAGCAACAACTTCAAGTTTATAACAGTTTAAAATCGTCAAACCAGTAGTGTGCATAAAACAGGATAAAACAAATGTGAAATGTCCTCAGAACAAGACTCAAAAGTGCTGGGAAGCAGTATGTGAAGGACATTATAGCAAGCATTTGAAGTTTTAGATTTGAACACAATCACTGAAAATATACATAGAGTCATCATCACTGGGACGGACTATTAGCAGATCCCACACCATTCCACGTACTGGGGTCTAAAGTTTACTCATGATTAGCCAAAACATGAGTCAACATCCCGACACAGCAGAAAAAAACACCGCTGAGTCACAAACCCAGATCATCACCATCGTCATAATCAAATGTATGACCTCTTTCTTACTCAGTCATACCTGACTCTTTCCAGCTTGTCCCAAAACTTGCAGAAAAGTGTGTGTGTGTATTGGGGGGTTGCAAAAGAGATTAAAGAGCCTGATAAATGGAAAACACATGGAGTTTTATAAAAAACAAAAGAACAGTAAAGACAGAGTGCTCATTGAGATGTGGAAGGAGAGATGAAAAGCGAGAGGTGTCAGCGGACTCGGGGCCTGAGACTCGAATCTGGAAGAAAGATGGGAGATGAGGCAAGCGAAGGATTCAATTCAATTCAATTCAATTTTATTTATATAGCGCCAAATCACAACATAAGTCGCCTCAAGGCGCTTCATAGATACAGAGAAAAAAACCCAACAATCATATGACCCCCTATGAGCAAGCACTTTGGCAACAGTGGGAAGGAAAAACTCCCTTTTGAGCTCACCAACCCCCGTCTTTTATCGCAACGTGTTCTTGAGAAATCCAAGAGCAGGTTTACACCAGAGGCTCGCAAGCTCTTCTACAACAATGAACCCCACAGCCATTCTGCCAGGAAATGACATCTGTGGAAATACTGGCAGGACACTCACACTCTGCAAAATGAGAGTGTCCGTCACTGCCTAAACAGTGACGGACAAATATCATCTTCCTGAACACAGAACAAGTAAAGGAACACAAAACAGAGCCAACTTTTCCGTGAAGTATCGACTTTTGGTTCTTCAATAACGGTTTTCAGTCCACTGGCTGTCAGTCCCTACACTTTAATCCTGTTCAACTTTGCTGCCGAGCTTTGTCAGAGTCACCGGTGCTTGAAAAGGCGTCGGAGACCCATTACAGTTTTATGTAACGTCACGGAGACAGCGATGTGCACACACATACTACTAAGCACCCCCCTTCCACATACACACCACACAAACACCCCTTTTCTGTGAACAAGGAGTTTTTCTACAGCTGGGTAACAAAGCATGACCCAATAATCCCAAAGCTTGACTCAAAGCTAAAGAAGCCCCCTCCCTCCCAAACATACACACACACACACACACACACACACACACACACACACACACACACACACACACACACACACACGCGCGCGTTCCCCCTCCCTCCACTTATATCCCTTCCTCCCGCTCTCTGAGGACTTTATAAAGGCTGTGGCATGGAGGCTTCAGGGCGACTTTGCAGTGTAGGAAAGGGGGGGTTACAAAAACAAGCATGCTTCGCTTTGATTATTGAAATTATGACTTGGAGCAAGGAATACATTATTATAAACACATGTGCCAATGAGATGTTGATGAGCTCACATCCCTTCAATCCATCACTATTACTATTAAAAGAGGCTCTTCCACAAAAGCCCTTCACTTGTAGTGTACTTTTTTTGGGGGGGGCTACTAAGGAACAATACCAGCCATTTCATTTCTAAATGGTCAATGCATCAATCAATGGGTGTCTTTGGCAATAAAGGTTATCACTTTCAACTGAAGAGATCCTTTTTTTCTCCCCCTCTCTTCTCATTTCATTATTGCGCTCATCAGTCGAGGGGCCGTTACATTACGCAAGCTGATAAAGCAATAAAAGCCCAGCAGCTAGAGGCAAGGGAGCAGCAAAACACCATGTCCGCTGAATATTGCCCAGCGCTGTGTCCCAATAATTATTACCTGAGAACACAAGAACGACTTGAGAGATTGCTCTAGGCGCACCAATTCTGAGAAACATGGGGCAAAAAAGTCAAAAGATGAGCAGGAGATTAAAGGAATAGGAGCTCCTGCTGTGCTTGTAATAGCTGTGAGGAACAACAACAACAAAAACAATAAATACAAATAAAACTGCATATCTCGTGATGGTTTAGCTTGTGGGCTCATCACATCTGTGCTTCAAAAAACAAAAACAAACCAAAAGAAAAACTCGATTACACTTTAAATGCACTTAATTTCCATAAAAGAGCCCAAATCTGGTGACCCAGGCAAACAGCTGACTCAGCTCTAGAAAAGTCAAACGCAGACACGAGGCTGCACGGCTGCAGCACAGCCTCACCCTTCACATAAAAAACACCCAACTGAATTACTTTGTTTTGGTGTACAAATAGTAGCTCAGAGTATGTTCTAAACCATTAATATGCAAACCACGCGGTTCAGAAACTGAATAGCAGTTCCAGACTGCAATTCCCCAATACACCTTTCCTCCTCCCCTTTTCCCCTCCAAGCCATGCAACATCAACATGCATGTGTCAGCACGCAGCTCCTAATCACTCACCAGCAAGTTGCTATTAAAGAATACATGAGCCACGTCCATCTCCCTTTCCTATAAAACAAAAAAACAAGTATGACCACTATAAGTGGCATTTAGAAACACGCCACGCATCGGGCCAAAGCAAGATCTTGAAACATTTTTTGCGGCTGTGCAACGCGATCCTTAACTATTCTGTGTGAGCCAGCCCAACCTATCCAAACCTAGCTGTGAAAAACAACCCGAAGACAATTGTACTCCTGTTAAGTCAGTCAGCAAAAAAAAAAAAAAAAAACTTCCACAGTTACCGGTTCCCATGCTCCACACAGTGACGAGCAAGCCGAGTCTTATCTTGATGTCACGCAGCTATTTGGCCCCAGTCTTGTGTTTTGTTGACAGAAAGACAAAACCATGTGCCTGCCTGCCTTGACTGACCTTGGGAGGGGGAGGCTGGGTAAGAGGAGGAGGAGGATGGAAACGATTCGCCATGGAGCCAGGTAAGACTTAGTAAGGTGTTGTGTTATGGGAATGTACTCTTTGTTTTGACTGTTGAACTTTCAAAACTTAAGTTTATACCAACAAAATTCACAGTTACTGTAATTGTACTCCGTAGCTGCAGACTGTAGACCTGACAGGATCCCCTTCACCCCCTTCTACCCAGACTTTCACCTCAGTGGTTGTGTTTGTAATGGCAGGAAGTGATAAAATAGGTCATCACTCAGAACTTACACCTTTAACTCAAGACTGCGGTTTGCTGACAATCTTTGCAAAAGCACACACTTCGAATCCCTGAGGTGAGACCAGCCTCTGGGTCCTCAACTCTCTTTGGAAGAAAAAATAAGAAACTTATCAAAGCAGACTGCATCCAGCTTCAGATTTCATTTAGTTCAATGAGCATTTATGAAATGCAATTAGATACAGCAGTCAGCAAGAAAAGAAGCAGCCAAACAGTTTGTAGCTTTCACCGCCCCCCCATACCTTGGAGCAACATGAAACCCAGACAAGCTTCAGTGGCTCTCACACCATATGGTCTAAGAAAAATCCTTGCAGTTACCATAAACGACTTTTTTCAACATTATCCATCGGCTTCATCGGATCAATTTCGCCAATGTTCGAGCTCAAATTCGTGGCCGTGCACGAGAACCTATGAAAAATCTGAGTGGAGATGGATGCTTTGCGGAATGGCCCTTTGTTTGGAAACAGCCTTCTCTGCAGCGCTGGCAATGCGAGACGCTTATCGATCATTTCAACTGGAAACCTTTTGTGTTGCGCGCGACTGCGAGGCTGCGGGCAAACGGCAACGGTAATAACGAAAATTAATGCCGTACTGCGTCTGCTATTAAGGTTCTCTTTAATTAGAGAAACTACAAAAATACTCCCAACGTGGATTTTTATTATTCCACGCTGGTGGCGTCGGAGCTCTTTGTCCGGTCCGAGCAGCAGCCGCAAATAAACAAAAAGCAGTCGGGGGATTTTTTCCCCGGATTAACGCTGGATTAATCATAGTAAGAGACCCAATAACCGTCTTTGTTCCTTATTTAAGCCACCCTCAACCAGTGTTGCGTTGAGTAGGAAAAACAAAAGAAAAAAAACTTCTGCAATAGGGAATGAGGGGGGAAAATGATAAAGCCCAGACGCTATAACGTTGGGTCCTTTTGTATCCGCGTCTGTCAAGCCCTCCTCCTCCGCCTGTCTCACGACTCCAGCCACCTCCGGCCGTCGACGCTGACCCTCGCCGAGGCAGAAAAGTGCTCATAGTTGCCAAGACATGGCTTCCGCTTTTTTTTCTTTTGAAAAGAAAAAAGGCAAGTTGAAGCTTTAAGCTAAACAACGCTGGGTAAAGTGGCAGTAGCCAGCGGTACAGCTACAGAGTAACGCAATAGGAAGCCCTTTAATTTTTAAACAGCAGCTGGTCGGCTAACCTAGCAAGCGCCCCTTTTCCTACGCTTCCCTTTTTCATTTGGGTCCCATAAACCAAAAAAGCGTTAAATTCGACAACAAATGCCTCAGTACGATTGAAACGAACTAAAAAAAACACGAAGTGTTTGTGTAGTTTTATGTGCGCTGAAAAGAGGCGCTTTGCATACTTTCCGCGACAGCAGCAAAAACTTCCATCAATCATCCGCCGTAAAAGGTCCAAGAGCAGCCGCAGCGGAGACTCGGAAAAAAAAAACAGTCCAGTGTGTTTATGCCAGGCAGCTTTTGCTTCGATTAGACAGAAATATTCCACTTACCGACTTGTAAAACGTTTTCCACACAACCGGTTTCTAGCAGTCTGATACCCCGACGGAAAGGCAGTCCGTCTCCCGTCCCCACTGCCCCGGCTGCCCCAACGGTAGCTGTTGTACCGGCGGCAGATCCTCCACCGCCACCGGCGGTTGTAGCTCCGGAACCAGCACCCCCAACCCCACCGGGAGTCGCCGACGGACCTTCCTCCCCGGCGACTCGGCACTGAAACGACGAGTACATGCATATCTCCTTTTCGTTGCGGGGGAAAGACCAGTAGACGATGCGGCGCTGGACGGGCTCCGGGATCCGTTCGAAGCGCTCCTCTACTCTCTCGAAGGCCCACTTTTCCGCTACTGCTTTAGCAGCGCAGTCCAGAAGAGACTCGGGAGAACGATACCGGGAGCTGGGCAACCCGCTGCCGTGGCCGGGCCCCGGCCCGGGACCTCGGGGTGCTGGGCGAAGGCAGGGTCGCTTGCTGGCCGGTGGTACCGAAAGAAGAGGATGAGGCGACTGTTCTCTGCGTCCTTCCGCCATGGTGAGCCGATCAACACTAACGAGACGGACGGTGTGCGGACACCGAGCAGCAGCAGGAAGCCAACAACTCTCACACACACACACATACACACACTAAGCTCTCTGTGCTCCCAGAGCACTCTAAATAGGGGCTCGTGTCAAACTAGCAAGTATTTCAGGCAGAGCTTCCGGTCACAGCTGTCAAAATAAAACACGTACGCAAACGAGAGAATCTGCCCATTTAAGTCATAACACGGACCTGATGCTGTGAATTTCCATCAAAATTAGGCTCTTGTGATCTGATATCAATGAGACATTTCTCAAGGTCTTTTACGCCTACTTTCCAGGTGAAAAATACCACAATGAGCTCATATTTAGATTAAAACGTCACAAACGGTGAGGGGATGTCTGGATCTGTCTATTCATCGGATAGCGGCTGTAAAAGCAATTTTGGCAAATTCAGCTTTGTTTAGCTTAACTCATGTTTGTCATTTTGATTTCCCAAAGTGACATCAGGTCAAGACCTGAAAGTTCGTTGCACACATGCCATTCATTCATCTAAAGTATTAATTATCTAGGTCTTATTCTGACACATCAGTTCCAAAGACTGGTGTCATAAACTTACCCTTAATATCAGTTATTATAGTATATTATCAAAACTAAGTTAAATAACACATTTACTGATGTAATATAACCACTAAACAATGACAGCCAAATACCTTTTATCATTAATATTTAACTTAGCTAGCTGCCTTTCCTCTAAAGCTTTTATTATTTCTTTCTGATTCATAACATAGAAACATTTTCCACATGCTTAAGAACTGGAAGATTGCTTTGGAGGTAGCAGTCTGACAGTCAGTAATGATACCTGATTTAGGTGCTTCTAGTTCCTCAGCTTCTCTGGCCTCTTTTAAACTTTTTAAGCTGTAGTTCTTTCAAGGTCTTTGAACTCTCCACTGCTGGTGTTATTTTATTCCATCCTACTGATGTGTTGGTAGTTGCGCCTCATTCCCTTTTGTCTCTGCATGTATTCCAGAGTTGTAGAAACTTTGCTTAGCTGCCTCTCATTTATCTCCTCTCAGATAAAGCTCCCCTAGGATGTATAAAGGCTTGCAGAGGTAAATATTCGTCCTATTCTCAGTTAAGAAGTCGATGCTGACATTGCCTCTGAATTTGAAAATGCAGTGTCTTTTGGTCTTTTATTTTAAAACTCAAAACTCTGGATTTCCTGTCGTTTTCCTGGTAAATTTGTGTGACTTGATCCAGCTTAGCTGGCACAGAGGGCAACAGAGCTGGGAGAGAGAGAGAAGGATTGATTACAGGTAGAGAATGCTGCGCATCATTAATCAGCACAATGACAAGAAAATAGCTTAGACTCATGTCCCAAACCTGCTGTCTTGCTTTCAGACAGTAATTATACAAATGACTGCAAATACACACATGGAGGAAGAGAATAAAACAACAGTAATAAGTCATTTATATGGATGACTTACATACATGTAATACTCACTGAAGTTTGGCTTTGATGTTTCTTATAACTGTGAAAATACATGACTATTAACTGTTCAGTCTCTTCCTTCACTCTTTCTTTTCAAACCACAGCACACTCCTTGATGTGAGCATTTTCCACCAGTGGAGAAAGCGATTTCAGCTTCTCCACATGAATAACAAAGTTGCCGTTTTGCTAATTAAAGTCACAGTGTTATGTGTCCCATAAATATCAATTACCGCCGATCAGCAAATACACATTCATTTGAATGGGTCCAGCATGCAGTTGCGAGTGTGCCTCCCACAGCAGGACACAAAGGGTTTAAACTAATACTCTGGCTAATGCTCATTTCACATCACAATGGAGCCTGCTGCTCATATACCTGAGGCCATACCTGGATGTTAAGGACTTTAAAAGGCACGCAGTGGGGCTAATATCTTCATCGCGGCATCATTTTTGAGAACAATAACAGGAATGAATTCTTGTCATTTTTCTGTCTGTGCCTTAAGCAGAAGTTGTGGGTCTGTTCGTGCAGTTATTGTTTTTGTGTATGGAGTTCCTTGTGAGATCGTAGCAGATGGCTGATGCTAAATATGAGTATGACATTAGACAAAACCACTCTTTGCCTTACACCGTTGTGAATATTATTTATATTTAACTTGAGCTTTATAGTCTCATGGGCTATACATTTGCCCCCACAAGCAAAGCACTCCCCTGTGGGGGAGACATGAATCCCTTGAGAGTTGCTTAAAAAAATCTGCCAAATAAAATATGCTCGGCTACCTGCTGTTGTGAATAAAGGATCAGCCAAAATTAGCTACATTTTTCTGAATTCTGAATGTGTGATATGAGACAAGAAAAAGTAACAGTTGGATGCAGTCAGGTTTTGACCTCTGACATCTCCCTTGTTTGTTTAAGAGTGTTTTGAACGTCTGTGAATCACACTAAAAGTATGTGCATATGTCCTGCGAGATTATCAGCTCGGTAAGTGACGATGGCTGGCCTGGGAAGCAGCTGTATTGATAAAACCACTTTTGAAAGTTGCTCTTATAGAGTTTTTAATGAGTAAAAGCAAAGACGGGCACAAGATACAGGCTAAAATAGACTTTTTTCTTTGTATTTTTTTATTTCTTTGTTTCAGCTTTCCTTTCATGTGACATATTTATATTCTTGTGACAAAGATCAACAATAGGTTGGTTTATCTTGTCTAGCCAACAGCACAACAGCGCCAAATGAAGCCATTTTCTCGTAACCTTTGGCAGACACATGCTTTTATTCACTTTTACAATGATCACTGTAAGCACATTGTTTCCATCGCTGCTTGCTTTCATGTTGTTGAGTCTTTAGTCATTCTTCCTCTGACCGATCTCTTTATGCCAATAGCTATACAACATGTATAGTTTGAGAAGGATGAGATTTGGGACGTTTCTCATTGAATGCATACATGTCTCTCATGAGTTATTGTGACCGAAATGCAAAATGCTTTACGGAAGAGAGAACGTGCCAGAGTTACTCAACAAAGATGCACACAGAGATGTAGTTCTATCAGCTTCCCCAGTGAATAACAAGCCCTGCAGAATTACAATGAAAATACATGAAAATGACACATTAGATAACCCTTTCAGATTCTGCAGTGGTCCTCATGATCAATGTGGGTCTGATGCAGATTGATTTTTTCCATGATTGGGGGTACATGAGTGCATAAATGCTTAGATTTGAAGCCGATTCTGTTTCAATGCTTGAGGGATGCTTTGATTTGAGTTTTGGATAATTGCACAAAACAGACAAAGCTGAATTTCATCGAGCTCTGTGAACTTGGAGTGTAGAAAAACCCTTTCAGGTTAGGTGTGGCTGCCTTTTTTTTTAAACGTTCAAGATCAGACACGGACGTTTACTTCCTGAGTTGCTGAAATGTTTCATAATGTACTTGTATAAGAAAATACCTACCAGGTGTTGCTGCTCTTTACAAAGGAGACGCATCATCAAGTATTGATGCCATCAGCTTTTCATTCCCCAGGTGGAGGTAACTTGGGATCTTGTCCGCAAGTGGAGGGGTGAGAAGAGTGGAACTCTTCCTTATTAGCAGATGGTTTAGTGCAACATCTCTAGTGAAATCGATGCTTAAGGAGCCCTTTGAGGTAAAGAGCTGAGTGTTAATTCAAAGCTGTTGGTTTACTGGTAGATCCCCGCTACCACCAACACCTGTGGCCATAAGCTGGAGTGACTGAAAGAATAAGCAGTCATAAATGTTTCCCTGAAGGCCGTCTTGGAGCGTCGAGGAGCGTGTCAGGCTACATTTCACTGTGTGTTATACTTGTATAACTATGCATGTGACAAATAAAGAACCTTGAACCTTGAACCTTGGCTCATCTTTAGGGTGAGAGTGAGGAGTTGAGGTGATGTAGTGTGGGCATCTGTATCCTCGATGACTCCTAGATGAGGTGTTTTTCGACAGATTCAACCACGAGGAGATGCCAGGCATGAGACAAAGCATCTCAGAACAACCGGAGCTGAGGGAAAGGGAGGTCTGGGCACCTCTGTTTTTAATGCCCCCCCCCACACACAACCCAAACCTGGATAAGCTGTAGAAAATGGATTGGCAGATGGATTAGTTTCACAATACAGGAATGCTGTAGAGTACTCAGGCTGGATCCACATCTTATGCAAACTACCAGTTCCCAGCAGTCCGGCATGAATGGCTTGAAAACCGGTTGAACACGCACCACTATCTGCTGTTCAAAAGTGCCGTTTACTCATACCACAGAAACTAAAGCAAGAACAGAATTTCAATCCTCAAATGAAGACTTGCCATCAATTTTGTTTCTTCAAAGTATCATAATATGCATGGATCCAATAAATGAAAGATTGAAAAAGAAAAACCGCCTTGTGTCATTTTAATTAGATTCATTTTCACTCTTGACAAAGTACCTTATATTAGAAAGGAAAGAGAACTCTGCACACGGACAGTTTTGGTGCTGATGTCAGTAGACTGATTGTATTACCTCAGAGGCTGGGAGGAATTTAGTGCTCTTTGGGTGAAAAAAGTGGTTCTTTTGTAATTATGTGGAAAAATAAGAAGACAAGCCTCAGGCACTCAGAATAACCGTGTCCATTAACTTATAATTACAAGTTGCTAAATGAAACAAAACCACCTTAATAGATTTTTGGATAGCCGTGTCTCCCATTTATTTCTACCAAATACATATAACTATTGTTCCTCACTGACCTTGCACGGGCAGTTATACGTCCTCATTTTCACAATAACTGACAATTGCACAGGCAGAGAAAATGTTTCATCAGCCTGGGATGAAGCCAATCCACACATAATGGCTGCTAAAATGCCTGATGAATGGATGCCATGGTCAAAATTAAGCAGATGATCTGCTCTGAAGTTGACTCTTTGGAGATGTGGGAGAGACATTAGTCACTGAGCACGGAGACAATATCCAGATCTGTGCCTCTCTGTGTATCCCCTTCCCTCTTTTAAAGACTGCTTTTTGGCGTGCAATTATATTGAACAATAGGCCGAAGCCAATGGAGGATGCGGCCCGTTACCATGGAAATGATGATGATGGATTTGTAGATAGACAGAACAGGTAATTGGAAAAAGATTGATGGGTGACAGGGTGAAACAGAGAGATAGAAAGGGATGGAAAGAGAGAAAGAGAGAGGGATAAATTACCAAAGCAGCAGTGGGAGGAGAGAAAGTCCTATTACACCCTATC